AATATTTAAATATATTAATAATATAAATTGATAGTTAATATCAATAGTTAACATGCAAGGAAAGTAGTGATTTGTTGTGATAGCGAATTCACTTACTAAGAAGAAATATTTAAATATATTAATAATATAAATTGATAGTTAATATCACATTATGTCCCAATATTATGACGTGGAAAAGGGGCTGAGTTGCCTTCGTTTGGAACCTGAGGAAAGGGCTCTGCCTGCCGCATTTGCTGTCAGAGCAGGCTGCAGATAGAATCACCCAGGGTCTTCGTCCTGCACCAAGGCTGGGCACACTGGCCGCTCGGAGCCGGTATTCCCAAAGCTCCTGGTGAATGCCGTGAGCCGAGGTGGAAACACCACCAGGTCTTGCCTGTGACAGCCGGCACCGGGCAGGGTCAATTGAGCCCGGGAGCGCCTATGCCTGGCTGTGCCCTCCAAGCGCAGGAATCGCCGCAGAGGAGGCGTTCTGGGCCTTGTTCCAGGCCTGCCCCCTCCTGGGTTTACACACGTGTCCACAGCAGTGAGCTTGCGTGAATGTGCAAGGGTTCCGCTTTGTTCTGGCTCACAGATCTTGCTGAAGAGTAGGTTCCCGCCCACCAGGGCTGCAGGCAGGGCTGAGGAGTGTGAATTCCTGTGATCTCCCAGGCAAAGCCTGCATTTTCGGTCCGCAGCCTCCAGCAGGGAGGTTGGTTTGTTCCAGATGCTGCGATGCTACTGGTGGGAGCTCACACTCGGCATAGCCAGGCCAGGGGGACTTTGCCAGAATCACCAAGCCCTGGCCTCAGGGACCCAGAGGCCTTGAGGTTCCTGCCGCCCCGGGCCAGGAGGATGCATGTGACCTCAGCCAGTCTGTTCCGCTGTGCTCTGGAGCTGCTGCTCAGGTGTGCCCGGCCCCCACGCCCACGTGGGAGTGGAGCAGAGCCCTGGGCTCACAGAATCTGCTCTCCAAGACAGACGCAGGCATCAGGCCGGAAGGGCCCCAAGTGTCTCCAAGTGTGTGGCTCTCTGCCTGGAAACAGGGAGACAGGGAATTAAACCTGCCAGCTCTCCAGCCTGAGGAGGAGCTGCTGAAGCATCACCCCGCGTGCCTGTGAGGGTGTTTCTGGGAGAGATGACGCTTGCGTCAGCAGCCTTAGTGAGGACCTCTTCTCCCCTGTGTTGGCGCAGTCACGCCAGGCCACCCGCTAGGAGGAGTGGTGGAGGAAGGCCTGGCTCCTCGGCTCGGCCCATCTCCTGCCCTGGGACATGAGCGCTCCGTCTTCACGGAGGCCACTCCGTTCTCGGGCCTTGGCCTGGAATTGGGCCATGAGCGCCTGGGGCCTCAGCCCTTCGAGCTTGAATGCGTCACGGCCGGCTTTGCAGATTCTCCAGCTGGGAGACAGCAGAGCCCAGGGCCTGTCCGTCCCCACGTCCTGCGTGCCAGTCTCCCCAGCACACCTCCTCTTACACAGGTCCTGCCAGTTCTGTCTCTCTAGAGACCAGGCTTCTGGGAGAGTGGCCACAGCTGGTCCTCTCAAGCATCCGTCCCTCCCGCTCAGGGAAGCAGCACTTAGATTTCCCATGGAGGCGACCCCCGATAACAGTGTGTTGGAAGACACGTGGGGACCCAGCAGAGCAGTAGGAACCAAGCCCCTCAGGAGACTTCTGCTGAACTCTGGGTAAGAGCTGGGAGCTCTTCCGGGCTGTGGAGCTGCAGTGGCTTCTGTCTCCTTGGGAGAACAAGCGGCTCGGGATGGCACCAAGAAAAGAAAGCTCAGAGCGGGAGGCAGCGACCTGATTACTCACGTCGGAATCCACACACAATGCCAGCCAAGCAGTCTCTTTTAGTTTAAGCCAGCTTGAATT